TGCCCCATGCTTTTTCTTGCCACCTCATGCATGTCTGAGGTTTTTTTTAAACAAAATGATCCAATTTTATTTTCATACAAAATCGTTTGCTTCATCAGTGTTCAATACAAGCAATGTTTTTTTTTCTGCAATAATACACTATGGGAGTTGTGAAAAGCAAATGTTTCTAAAGGTGTGCCTTTATAGCCCTGTTATATCTTAGATATGAGTTGTTTTTTTTAGTTTTTTTTTAGGGTTGCTGGACTTCAGCTGAACTATGATTTGCTTGTATCTTGGCAAACTGCAGTTTCAAAACAGTTTCCTCTACACGGTCACCCTTGAAGTAAGGTTGATGTTACCAGGCATAATGTCAGATACTTCAAAAGATGATGGACCGTGCGTCATCCGTGCTGGGTTTCCGGAGTGTTCTTGTGCTGATAATGTTCATAGCTTCTGAATCCAGCCGTTGTTGGACTCTTTATCAGATTAGAACATGAATTCACCAGTTCCTCCCACACTCTCTGTCTCTGTGATTGCGTGGAGACGTTCAGGCAAACGCAATCATATACGCAAGCACAGTTGAAGGGGCCATGATATGTTTGTCCAATTAGCCTGGCAACAAAGGATCATTACCTTGACACAGCAGTCTATTAGAAGCTGATTAAAAGAAGATGTCAGTTCCTATGCTGAGCATAATGCGTGGGACCGATACAGATCTGACTCTCTCAGCAGGCTTGTCCTTTCTTACCCACGCTGCCCGTCATGATCACCCTTTCATGTTTGTTTTGTTCTTTCTCTCTTTGTCTTTTGCTCTTTTATTCCCTTTGCTACTTTCTGCTGGATATGTGTTTATAATAATGCAGTCGCCTTTGTGTTGAAACTCTTGCTGTGTGGCACTCACAGTCTCTGTGGGTAAAGGCTTTGAAAATCGCTTAAGCCAAAAGACCACTGAGCTCTTACAGCAATGATCCATCAAAAAGGCCTCCACAAAATACTCAGGTCTTTGCTAGCTAACTAACTAACTAACTAAAACTCAAAAATATGTCTATTAACCTACCCACCAAGTATCCATCCATAACATGCATATATCCATTAAACTGTCAATTTTTCACCCACCAGTTCATCTACCCGTCCGTCCGTCCATTATTCACCCACCAGTTCATCCATCCATCCATCCATCCATCCATCCATCCATCCATCCATCCATCCATCCACCCATCTATCCATTAATCACCCACCAGTTCATTCATCATTACATGCAGCCATCATTCCTTAACATGTCCGTCCATCCATCCATTATTCACCCTCCATTTCATCTGTGCATCATCCACCAATCCATCCATGTGTCCTTGACATGCATCCACCAGTCCATCACATTCTTCCTTCCATCTGTCAATTGCATCCATCCATCCATCTATCTATCCATCACATGCATTTGTCACAAGCATTCCTTAAAATGCAACCATAACATGACATGTATCTATTTTTAGCATTGTTATGAAATTTTAAATATTTCGAACATAAGTCAAAATTTAGTGGCCAAGGTCAACAAAATAAACTTGACCACTAAAACGAAGGTTCTACTATTTTTATCCCTGGTTGAAAACCCATGATTTGGACAGTTTTTAGTGTTTTTGAGAAAGATCCTTAAACTGAGGATTCTGCGAGGGTTGTCCTTGCAATTGGTGAATTTTAAATGGTCAAATAGTGTACAAACTGCCCTATTTAGAAGTCTGACTGTGGCTCTGCTGAGGCTCCGCCTCTCAGGGGTCTTTAGCTAATCATAGACCAATCAGTGTTATTATTTAGTCATTTGTGCAAGGCTACCACATCGATCCATTCACAACAAGGACTTACATTATAGTACTTCCCAATAGGGTGATGAGGAGGCGACTGTGTGTGTGTGTATGTGGAGGGACACAACTGCTGGTTTGCATTATTTCCCGCTGTTCTGCAACATAAATTTTTAAAAGCAGCATCCAGCAAAGATTGTTTAAATCGAATAATACATCGATCCAGGGTACACCCGTGCCTGGCAAGGCATAGTTAAATCTACTGAGTGAAAATAAATAAAGTCTTGACCTTGTAATAGGTTATTATTATTGAAATTCCAAAGTCAACTCAACGTTAAATTAAAATTCAATAAAGACCTTTATTGGTATTTCAAAGCAATGTTTGTAACCCCCAGGCATTATTTATATTTTGTTTTTTTGCTCATGTTGGCATGCTTTCAATTTGCAGCTGCATTTTTCTTCTACTAGCAATGAACAATGCTGTGAGCTGTGATATTTGTCAGCGGAGACTGATCTACAGTAACTAGCTCAATAATACCAATTAATAATTTTATAGTTGGATATTATGTATTATATTTTGTACTTACATTTATTTTATGAGAACAGAATGATGAGAACATACTGGGCCACTGAAACCAAATTTGCTCAAGTGTTATCTATGCAGGCTCCGCTATATGGTATCAGCTAATCGAATCCCCACTAAAGGTTTAAATGGCACTCTATTGCCATGAATCAGCCGGCTGACAGCATACTGAAGTGATGATTGTATGTCTGTTTGCATGATGTTTATTGCACACACAGAGATGGTTGATTCACACTTGTATTGTATTAAAAATTACTATGGATGAGTATGCATTATGTCTGTAAAGCTGATGAAGAGGTTGATGAATGATCCATTGGGAATGTAGTTTGATTCCTGAATGGAAATACAGGCACCTGCATGTGACACAAGAAATAATGTACACACAACCATGTTTGCTTTTTATTCAAAACGCTTGATATTATAGGAGATTCCACTTTCGCTTTTTGCCCTTATGTCACAGAGATGTTTGGTCTTAACAAAATAAGTCCAGCATGATCAGTAGAAGCCATTCAGTTGATCATGACAGGGAGAAGTGCTGAAATTGAAATTGTTTTTCAGCAGCAGTACCTTAGAGAGCAGCATCCCATATGGCCATTGCTGTCGAGGAAGTTGACACTGTCATGCCAGTTGAAGCAGAAATGCAAGCTGTAATGGTACTAAAAGAAGATCAAGTTATATGCCTTAAGGCCTCACTGACACTGTTGTCACTCCTCGAATCGCATAAAGTGGTCACTGATTGAAAGAATGCCTAGTTATTGAGCTGGCACTCTGTTCTATGTTCTATGTGATACTTTTGAGAGAAAGAGAAAAAAAAAACCAACTGGTTAAAAGAGGTCAAAAATATAAAAAAAGGTAGAATCATTTTAAAAGTATAGCCAATTTTGAGTTTTTTGTTTTTTATAAATATGTTGTATCATAAAACAAAAACATCATACTTCTTTATCAACAATGTTCAGTCTTTTTAAAAATATGAAAAATGTGGAGTGGAATCTGGTATGTATGGCATTCTCATTATTGCAGTTATGGCATTTGGGAAGGAGATAGAGAGATAGGGGTAAAGAAAGCTTGAAAACAGCCGTGGGGCTCCTTTTCGTGCAAACCAAATTGAATAGAGAAACCAGCCTTTGAGAGATGTTTAAATCCACATGCTGCCACATGTGAGCATTTACAATCATTTATTAATGCAGAGACGTGGAAGCACATTGGTAATTTTTTGTACATTCTGACATCCATATTCTTGCATTCTCTACAAGACAGAAAAGCTTTCATTCTGAAAAACAAGAGCATGCAAATGTAACTATCAATTCATCCTTCATACATGTGAAACTCACAGTTCTTTTGATTACCAATGCTCAATCTGCTAAAGGCTGACTGTGTTTCTGTAAGGCACACCAGGGGCATCTAAATGGAATGTCAACTCTGACACGAAGACTACGAGTGGAAAAGCGGATCAGTTTAGCAACAGTTACTTTAATTTTCAATATACAAAACAAAAGTGGAAACTCTAAAATGGTAAAGTAAGCACAGCAGTGTGCTGGAGCACAGTCAAAACCAGACAGTGAGCAAACTGAACTGAGGACAGTATATACAGAGTGAAATTAATGAACAAAACAAGGATCAGGTGTGTGAAATCATTGAAACGAACTTGATTACCATCATGACCAATGAAACATATTATAAGAAACATTTAAAAATAAACGTATGCATTTACATAACAATGATGAGCAAAAAAGACAGGAAAGTTCCTCCTTTAAGGTTTTTTTTTTTGTTTGTTTTTTTTTTTGGCGTACACCGTTCACTCTGATCTGTGAAAAAGACTAAACACGTTATATAATGCATGTCAGGCAAATAGTTGCCAATGCCACTGAAGAAGACTTGACAAGGAATATGCATGCACATGATGTCACTGTTTTCACAAATTTACATTTTTGTTGTTTACATGGGGAACGTTTACATTGTTTTCAGTCCCCCAAAACGGCGTTGTCATCTACATAAATAGCCAAAAAACAAAACAAAAAAAAAAAACATAAAACTTTTCCTTTTTTATTTGAAAATGGTGTGTTGTGTAAACAGCCCCTAAAAGTCCATGAAAATGAAACTAGTGACACCAGCGGTCCTCTGGGAGACAGCGTGCCTCTTCGCTTGTTATCATTCAGATGCTGATGTTTTGCCTTAAAGGGATACTCCACTTTTTTTGGATATTGGCTCATTTTACAACTCCCCCAGAGTTAAACCGTTGCGTTTTACCGTTTTCGAATCCATTCAGTCGATTTTCTGATATTTAGAAGAATATCATTAACCTGACAGTTTCTGGTCTCATTGACTACCATAGTATATATTTTTGCTATGGAAGTCAATGAGACCAGAAACTGTCTGGTTACTGATATTCTTCTAAATATCAGAAAATCGGCTGAATGGATTCGAAAACGGTAAAACTCAACTGTTTAACTCTGAGGTAGTTGTAAAATGAGCCTATTTAAAAAAAAAAAAAAGAAAAAAAAAGTGGAGTATCCCTTTAAACTCAGGATATTTAAATACTGATTGTTTATTCAGAAAAACAATCAATTAAAAACATAGATATGTTAAACAATCATATATTTGCATATCACAAACTCTTTCTCTCTCTTTTTCTCTCTCTCCCTCAGGATGGCATGGGAAATCTCCGCATAACCAAAGAGGGCATCAGATTAGAGGGTGTGTCGGAGTTCCTTCTACCACTTTATGTGAAAGAGATCAAATCCCGACGGGTAAGAATTTAGTTTTTTCTATACAACAGGCAAATAGGCAAATAATGGTGTAAACTTTTATATTGTTTTATTTGTTATATGAGTACTTTCTCAGTTTTGTATTTCAAACAAGTGCCACTTTATTACATACACAGGTAATGGCTGATTAAAATATTCTGATGGTACTACAAATGATTTTCACTACCATGGTACCATGTCACAGTAATACTATAGTACATTTTTTTTTAGTTGGTGTCAGCAAACTAAGTGATTAGGGTAGTGGGATCTGGCTTTGGACGAGGATTTTGCTCCTGTTCTCTTCACAGGTGCAGTAGGTCACACTGAAAGAGCTGCTGCTGAATCCAAGTTAAGCAACTCAAACAACCTGCTGAACTTTGCCTGCTAAATCCCTCAGTGAAGCTGTTTCACTCGGTGCTGCCATTTAGAGAATGAATTTACTGGTTGACGTCTTGTAGCACAGGCTTAGCTCATACATTCAGCTTTATGTTACACTTGATGAGACAAGGGCTATTATATAATGGTTACGTTGATGATTTAAATCCTTCAAAATTATTTAGTTCCATTTTTAGGTTTATAAAACTTAACTCTGACTTATCACTTTGCACATTTTTTCTTTTATGTTGTGTTTATGGATATACCGTGTACTGCATACTGTATATATATATATATATATATATATATATATATGTGTGTGTGTGTGTGTGTGTGTGTGTGTATACTATATATACTGCACTATAGTATCACCATTGTCCTTGGGTTACAAGCACCAAGTCCAAACCTATTTATTTAAACCCACAATGTAAAATAAAATTTATCATTTTAATCAACAGTAAATTTTTTTGTTAACCTTTTACTATGTCTTGGAGTATCGCAATAATATCGTTTCTTGAGTTCAGTATCGTGATATGTATCGAATTGTGACGTGGGGGTATCGTTACACCCCGAATATATATATATATATATATATATATATGAAGAGTTCAGATGCAAAAGCCTCTAAATGCCATTTGAAATTTTCTTCTTTAATGATGATTTTTGTCAAGCCTGTATATTTAAGTTCATTGATTTCACTTAAATGGCAATGATAATTACCTATTAATTGTTATTTAAGTGAAATTACTGAACTTAAATATACAAGTTTGACAAAAATCATCATTAAAGAAGAAAATTTCAAATGGCATTTAGAGGCTTTTGCATCTGAACTCTTCATATATATATATATATATATATATATATATATATATATATATATATATATATATTAGGGCACAGGTTAAATGTTTATCAATGGAAATTTGTTTGGCTAAATGGAGTCAAGTTATTTGCGGCAAACTAGAAAAATAGCCATTAGCATTTTTGCTTCCCATTTGCAGTTTACCACGGTACAAGTTACACAAATTAAGGACATTAATACAACATCTACGCTCTTCATCAAAAGCCGACACACCCACCGTGCTGACATGGCATGTAAATTGTGAGGGTTTCAGACATCACTGGTCTGTCATTCCAGGTACCAGCTGTGATGCTGGAGTGAGCGTGGTAGGGATTCTAGCTTGAACTCTTGATATATGTGAAAGGACAAAGTGTATATCACTAAGATGAATAGGACAAGCACACACATTCTTTGTCAAGCACACATACAGAGAAGTACACAGGGCTGGGTGCTTCCCCAAGCTCCTGCTGTGGCATGCATCATGTTCTGGTTCATTTGTATTAGGCCTCTGTTGACCTTTAGCACCCAATTGTAAATACAGCGTTGTTGATCTATATCTCTCTTTCTCTTTCACTCTCTTTCTTGGTGTGTCTGACTCTTTAACTCACTATCTATCTATCTATCTATCTATCTATCTATCTATCTATCTATCTATCTATCTATCTATCTATCTATCTATCTATCTATCTATCTATCTATCTATCTATCTGTCTGTCTGTCTGTCTGTCTGTCTGTCTGTCTGTCTGTCTGTCTGTCTGTCTGTCTGTCTATCTGTCTGTCTGTCTGTCTGTCTGTCTGTCATCTTTCAATACTTTAAAGCAAATATATTTAGTGAATATTTCGTCAACAAATATTTGAACATGATTTAATTACAATAACATATTAAATTATTAACTTAACATATTTAATTTTACTCTACAGTTGCATTGTTTTATATATGTACTTATCCCATATTTATTTCAGCATTTAACAAACACAGTGTTGTTATAGTTGTTATTCACGTCATGTTGAGGAGAGGCAAATTGTAATATTACTTTTATGTTGCGCATATATAAGTGATTAATCACATATTTATAGGATGCGTTCGGGCGAGTTAATTAAGCCGACTGCTGCGTTTGAGTTTACTGGTGTTCATTCACTGTTTCACTTCAGCTCGTGCAGCTCAAGCAGGTCAATCCCCGTCACACTGAATGAAATTATCTGAAACAAGCATAATCTTTCTCAAAAACTGCATTATTACTGTAGTAACCTGTGCTGTAATGTTTTATATCCTTGAATTTTGGGTGCACATTTTCCATCTTATCTTCGTTACAAAATCAAGAAGCCATTTTTTGTTGAAAACCTTTTGACCACAACCTTAGCCATGTTCTTTCTTTGTTTCTTTTTTTTTCCAGCAGCAGTTGCTTCAGCTTTTTAACCTGTCCCATGTTAAGGAACATTGTACAAAACATGGGTTAACATAGTCCTTTCAACAGATGTGGTACTTGGCACACTAGTAAAACTGAAATTAATAGAGGCACAGCAGTCTCCATCGTTTAGTCTATAATGATACACTGTGCAGAAACAATGACCACTGAGCCTGTTTGGAGTGCACGTTCATTAATAATGATAAACCCTTTTACCACTGCTCAGATAAACTTATAAAGAAGCCTTGTCCCTGAGCCAATAAATCAAAGTGCCTAATGTGTTAGCCGCAGTGATTAGCATTAAAGAACACAAACAAAGCGCAGGCTTTCTGCTAGCCCGCTGATGGCACTCCTGATTAGCCTCAATAATCACCAGCGCACATCAAAGCGTGTTGAGGGGCCTTTGCATTTCCCCTCAGCACCCCACCGAGAACGCAGCGTTGCAAATCCCAACACACCCTCGCAGCGACATGGAGGCCATTTTGGATCATTTGCCTCAGATGACTGTGAGGGTGCGACATTGCAAATTATAATTAATCCACAAAGTGTACAATGCCAGAAGCTAGGGTTCGGGGGATGCAGCATGGTGGTCTTGGTCTTGGAGGAGAGCCTCGAGCTGTAAAGCTGAGTACTGCAGACAAGCTGTTTTGGCGTCTTCTACAAAGAGGGATTGTGCCATAGCCTGAATTGACACCCTGCTTCTAAGGGCCACCAATGATATGTGACACAGGCACTCATGAAAGAGTGGCCAAAAAAGGAAACGTGAAAGGAAAGGTGCTTGAGAAGTATGAATAAAGATTCAGAGCATGAGGGGCAGCAGGAGAAGTGAAGGCATGTAGCCACCAGTAAAAAAAAAAGAGGCCTTCAAACATACATATACATATAGTGACATTGATGGGCTGACAAACTGACAAATATCCGGCACTATCATTTGAATTTGAATCAGACTTTATTTAGAATTGTATTTTAGAATTGTAAATGGGGGCTAAGCACAGAATCCTGGTAGGCACCTATTGTTTATTGGTGCGTCTCATCAGCTCCCTAGGTCTAGTATCCATACAGTTTATTTTTATACACAAATTCTCGAATTTGCAAACACTTTTGACATTTCGTCTACATCCAATGCACATGGCACCCTTTAGCGTCAATATGAGGCGCAGATATATATGGGATAGAAGGTATCTCCTAGTGGTCTAACCCTAACCCTAACCCTACCCCAGACCTAAACCTACCATAACTGAAGTGTGTTATATTGATGCTAAAGGGTGCCATGTGCGTTGGATTTAGATGTGATTTGGATTTAGATGATTTAGTGTCAAAAGCTTCCCTATATGACGCCCTAGGATGAAAGTATGTTAGTTATGCTGAAATATAATTAAATACCATTTCCTTTAAAAAATAAAATAAAATAAATAAAACATTTATAACGAATGAATATGTGTGGTGAGTTGGCTTGAGTGATTTATGTTTCGCGCTTCAGAACTTACGGTAGGAAACATATGCCCCATCCACGCTACTGCGTTTTCGTTTAAAAACGGAGAATTAAAACGAATACGATCTCCGTCCACACCAGCGTTTTTTCTGCGTATTAGAAATGATCTCCACCCACATTAAAACATTAAAATTAAAACTCCGTCCACCGTTTCGTCTCGTCCACACTAAAACGCCCTCTGGAGTTTCAAAACGAAAAACGGAGCTGCAGCGTTTCTAAACTTCTCCGTTTTAGGTCTTCGTTTTTCCCGTTTTAGTCTGGACGGGAGGTGCAAACGTAGCAAAAGGTCTCCATTTTTAAACGAAAACGCAGTAGTGTGGACGGGGCCATAGTGAGCATCGATTGATTTTGGGTTTTTTAGGGAGAAAACGTTTCAGTGCACTGGATGGATTTTGCGATTGAGACACCGCTTAAATCAGCCGACTCACTGATCAGTGCCCTGACAGTAGGGATTCACAGAGACTGTTAGTTTTCTTCTTCTTTTTCTGCTCTTGAAGACGAAAGTGAAATTTGGCACACAGATGGAGGACATTCTGACCAATAACCACAGCAAATGTGATGCTTTTATTGCCACCAATTATCCAAACTAGAAGGGCTTTCCTCTAATTCATCGGCTACGATTTGATTGCACAAATGATGTCCTTTTCTATCGTGAAAATCTTTTTTTTTTTTTTTTTTTTTTTTTTGACATGGGAAGACTGTCATGTAATAATGGTCATATGGTCTTTAATCTAAAGGTGGATAATTTATATTGCGGGTTATGGGTCTCAAAGTGTCTTTATGATCTATTTTAGTCTTCCTGGATTTGGGTGTTCTTGGATGGCCATGTAATGATGAAATTGCATTCACCACATGGCAAAATAAAAGGTGTAAAATATTGTTGGCCCTG